GAAAGTGGAACAAGAGGAAGAAAAGATATATGTGCCACCACTGCTTAAACCTTATGTTCCACCAGTGCCTTTTCCACAGAGACTCCATATGACCAAGCAAGATAAGTTATTTGAGAAATTTCTGAAAATTTTTAGGCAATTGCATATTAACATTCTTTTTGCAGATGCTATAGCTCAGATTCCTGCTTATGGGAAGTTCTTGAAGGAGATCATCTCCAACCGAAGGAAACTGGAAGACTTTGAGACAATTGCATTATCTGAGGAGTATAGTGCTATTATTCAGAAGAAGTTGCCTCCAAAATTGAGTGATCCAGGGAGTTTCTCTATTCCTATCTCTATGGGTGATGTTTGTTTTGATAAAGCTTTGTGTGATTTAGGTGCTAGTGTTTCATTGATGCCTTTATCTGTTTGTAGAAAGCTTGGGTTGAAACATTTGAAACCAACTAACATCACTTTGCAGTTAGCTGATAGATCCATAACTTATCCGAAAGGGATTTTGGAAAATGTGCTGGTAAAAGTGAAGAAATTTTATATCCCTGTTAATTTTGTTGTGTTAGATATGGAAGAAGATGCTAATGTACCGATTATTTTAGGTCGACCGTTTCTAGCCACAACTGGTGCTGTTATAGATGTTAAAAAAAGGAGTTTAAAATTTCATATTGGAGAAAAATCTGTGGAGTTCACTTTTTCTGAAAATTACAAATGCCCTACATTTACTCATCACGTGTTTAGGGTAGATATTCTTGAGGAGCTAGATAAAACTGAGGTTTTCATTGCTAATTCTAAAGATCCTCTTGACATATGTATCAGTGATGTAGGCACAGATAGAAATGGAAGAAGAATGATGTATGAAAGAGTTTCACACTCTTTTATTGAGCGTCCACCCGATTGATTAGCCAAATAGTCTGGCTCATGACTTTAAAGAAGTGCTTATTGGGAGGCAACCCAATTCTTTATTTTGTTTTATTTTTCTTTATCTTTCATTAATAAGTTGATGGTTAAGTTTTCTGTTCCTGATTATATGGAGATATTTGATTTCTAGATTTTCGTGGTTTTTCTTAATCATCTATTTGTAGGTTTGTTTTTCCAATTTACTTTAGTTTGCGATTAGGTTTGTTGGAAGGGCGAAACTCTGGTGTCTAGTAGTGCTGAATATGCAACATCCCAAGTTCTGAAGAAGTTGGTCGTGTGCTTGGATAGCAGTTGCAACAGTTTATTCAACAATTCCGGTCCTTTGCTTCACATTCCCAAGGTTGTGTCATTTCTTTTCATTGTTTTTGTTTATGTCTTTTCTTTTCTTTTCACTTGGTTGTCTTGTCTTTTGTGTTTTATACATTGAGGGCAATGTATGCTTTAAGTGTGGGAAATATTTGTGTTTTGTATTGTGTTTTGTGTTTTAATTAAAAAAAAAACTCCATAAAAATTGAAAAAATTGAAAAATCCAAAAAGGCCTATGATGAAGATGGTTTAATTATCTATAACATGTAAGAATTAGACTATTTTGAATTGTATTGCTTAACTTGTATAATTCAATATGTTGCTTTGAATACCCTGCTTTTTATGCACTTAGTCGTGACTGTGGGATAAGCCTAAAGTGAGACATAGTTGCATGAGTTTGATGTAGATATGCCATGGAAAGTTGTTTGATTCACTCATACTTAGATGATTTGTATGTGGAACCCATCATGTTGTGAAGGAAAAGCAAGGCATTAACCCAATATCAGCCTTAAAAAACCTTATTGCTTTGATACTTTGAGTTAAGTAAGTTTGGGAGAGGGGTGTTGGCAAATGCTTATGAGGTTAGGTTAAATTTAATGAGGGAGAAAAGGAAGAGCATTCAATGTTGATGCTAGCCCCATTGAGAGGTGAGGAATTGGCAACCTGAACGGAGAGTCCTTAGGCCCGGTGAGGAAAAATAGATATGTAGACTGCCCTAAGTTGCTGAGCCACTATGTATAGGAGTGAAAAAATGCTCTGGGTAGTGGCCTGAGTCGGAAAGAGTCCTGAAGAAAAGCCGCATGGACCGAAGAATGGGTTACGAGGGGGAATAGGTTGTCTGTGAGATAAGTCCTTTTATTCATAGTATGTTTGGCGGTCCATTGCATTGAAATATGGTATGAAATGTGAGTCCGTATTTAAAGTAAAATGACATATTTGCAGCAGAGCTTTTGTTTTCTATGTTAAATGTAAAGTGATGTCCCTGAGAAACGGATAGCACACACACACATAAGCGTGGGGGCTAAAAGTAGCTATAGTTGCATTTTGTTAGGTAGTGCATATTAGAGATAGTCCAAATCTGTGTGTAATATGATATTAAATCTTTGAGGCCGCAAAAATTAAATAATTAACTGTTTTCATTTTTGGAAATGCTTGAGGACAAGCAATATTTCAAGTTTGGGTGTATTTGATGTGCTCATAATTTATCTATTTTTAATATTCCTTTATGTGAGATTTTGCCAATGTTTTGGGTACAAAGATGCTATTTATATGATTTTATCTTTGATTATACGAATTGTATTCAAATAGAAGAATTGTTGAGGTGTTGGACTAAATTGAAAAGAGAGAGCAACTAAAAAGGGCCTAAGTGAAGATTGTAAGAACTAATGAGGAAGGAATTAGAAGACTTGAAGATTTAGAGGACTGAATTGCAATTTTTGTGTTTCTTCTTATGATTTGGCCGAAACAAAGGTGAAGGTGCGGCTGATTGGAGTTGAAATTGGGTAAGAATTTTAATCCCAATATTATTTGGGGAAATAAGTTTTCTTCTTCTCCAAGAAGTAGGGTTTGACGGAAGCCTATAAAAGGAGGATTAGGGTTTTATTTTTATGACAGAACTTGACCGAAAACTCACGTCTCCTTCACGGTTGTAAAACTCTCCCCTAGCCGCTCCACCTTCCTGCTACTGCAACTCCTCCGCCGACCTGCACCTTGACCTCACGCAGCAGCAACTTCACCACTCTGCTTCCCATCATCGCCGCAAGTCCACCATCCTGGCCACGCAGCCCAACCGAAGCAACCAACAGCCAAGTCCTCCTTGCCGCAGCAACCTTACGCACATCATCATCATCATCATCACACCTCTCTGCTTCCATTCACGCAGATCACCACCATCGACCCCTTCAACACCAACTTCACGCCACACCGTCATAGTCAGCGCATTATCACCATCACCTTTAGGAGGGGAAAGCACGGACAAAAGCAACTCCCGCGTTCCATTGTTTTAATTATTTTAATTTCAAGATAATGTGTAGCTAGTTCTTTTTATCTAGGGTTTTGGATGTAGCCGCCGTACTATTTAATTTAATTTAATTTATGATTGTGTCTTTTTCATTAATTAATATTTATTATTCTTGTTTTTCATCCATGTGAATACTTGATCCATATTTGCATGCTTTAAGGTGCTAGCTGAAGTAGTGAGAGTGGAAGGCTAGTATTAGTTTGTAGGAATAATAAACTTAGGTAGTGAGCCACGAGAGTAGGAGCACCGCCTTTGCGACTAGTAATTCCAAAGTTCTTAATGTGCTTTTATTAATCCGTATAGTCACGAGAGTAGTCATAGGGTTAGTTTAAGTAAGATGGTTATGACACGAGAGTGTATAATTCTTAAATTGGTGAATTGTCGTGAGATTAATGATAGTCGAAAGTCACATATCTATAGATTAAATTAAACTGAATAGTCGGTTGGTGAACCCTTTGCCCTGGGTTTTTTCTTTTACTTATTTATATCTTTAAATAATTGTAATTGTTAGTTTTAGGTTTAGAATAGTTTAAAATTGATAAATTGTTAATCTAAATAATAATAAGAAATAGTTTTAATCGGTACTTAGTAACCTTCTTTGTGGAATCGACCCTACTTGCTACTTTACTACTAGTAATTGTATTAAGTAGGTAATTAATATTTGACTAGTGTGACGACGGCTTGTCGTTTTGATTGAATGTGAAGTCTCACTAATTGTACTGTTCTTTTTCTTTGATCAACAACAAAGAAATGCTCATCAAGATGAACTCAATCGGTCAGAGTTGCTGAATCAAATATTTGGCAGAGTTGCTGAAATCAAACAATCAACATATAGGTGTTGAGAATCGGCTCATTCAAGATCGTATATGTTAAAAACAATGACTAGTGTTATTAATAATGTAAAATAGTGTTATTCATCTTGTAAATATGTTTTATTCATCGTTTGAACATGTGTTATTCATTCCATAGATATGTGTATTCATCATGCAACTATATATCTATTCTTCATTTTGTTATTGTTATTCATTTTGGATGGGATCATTATTTATCAACATTTGCTTCGTTATTCATCTTTGTAGATATCTATATTCATTTCAAAATTTTAAATTTATTTATCCATAACTTTGTCACTATAAGAACACCATTATTCATCCACTATATTATCATTATTTATCAGTAAAAATACTATTATTTATCGGAACAAACATCGTTATCTATTAAAATCTTCCATATTTGACACTTAATTCTCCAGATTTCGTTGATAATTAGTTCAAATTTTTTGCTCCAATTGATTCTTCGCATTTATAAGTCTCGATGATGAATCATATTCAATTTTACTCAAATAAAATCCATAGCTATAAAAAAAAATTTCTCATAAAATAAAATAATATAAAAGATAATAGGATAAGCAAAAAAAAAAAACCGTTTAAAATTAAAATGTCTGAGAAAAAATGGGATGAGAATTGAATATCCAATCTTGGTATCTCTTTGTGATCTTCTGAGTGAGTATATGCATCCGGATGTTATTTACTCCATGGCAACGGCGATTGGATAGCCCTTGAAAGTGGACACTCCCACGTTGAATATGATAAGGCCTTCAGTTGCTCGTTTTTGTGTTGAAATTGACCTCACCAAGGAGTTTCCGAAGTCGGTCAAGATCGGGAAAAAAGGTAGTAAGCAAGAATAGGTTTTTATCTATGAACATGTCCCATCTTACTGCTTCAAATGTTGTAAAATAGGGCATAAATCAGATGATTGTTGGATGGGAAAGACACAACCATTGAAGAAAGATTTGGAAAAAGATGCGAATTTGATAACCAAGAAGAAAGGACTTAAGATTCATCCGCCAAAGGTGAGCTTAAAATCACGGAAAAGTGAAGAAAAATCTAGACTGGAAGTTCAAATTGTTAAAATGCAACCTCTTATCGTTCGGAGTTTGGAGTCACAGCCCTCAGAAGTTGAAGGCGTGGAGTCACAGCCTCCTCCTACGCAAACCCTACTTGCGCAACTTCCGCAAGCTCTCCCTGCGCCAACCCTAGAAGCTTCTGTTGACGTTTCGACTTTGGGGTTGTCAATAGCAGAAAAAAGTGTGGTACCTGTTGATATTTCCTCTGATGTGGTGACTAATGCCATTACTTCAAATCGTTTTGCGGGTTTGGAAATGATTGAAGAAGACGAAAACGAAGTTGTGAACATTGAGGAGGAAGAATCGATTGAAGAAGTGTTTGCCGAAGAACTTAGCGATCATAGAAGCGATGCTATTCAGAATGTTTTGCTGCCATTGGTTAGCGGTGATTGCTTGGGGGTTGATAAATATTACGATGATGGGATAATTGGTAAAAATTCTGAAACAGAGGCAATAGATGATATTGAACGCGATGTTTGGTCGGAAAGTGATTTGGACGATTCTAAAACTCAGGACTCTGTCCAAGGGGAGAGTTCTGTTCCAAAAAAGCGTGGTCGAAAATCAAAGGGAGAAAGAACTAGAGCACAAGCTGGGCTAGTTCCCTGGCATTCTCCGCGTTTGTAGTAAGTGGTGGTGAAATCCCAATTTTTTCCATGATAAGTCAATTAATCTCGAATATTAGGGGAATAAAAAATCAAGCGTCTCAACGGTGTTTGAAAGCTCTAATACAAATGCATAAGGTTTCTTTTCTGGTTATTTTGGAGCCTATGCGTGATAGTAGTCAGCTTGAGGGAATAAAATGGGAGTTGAGTTTTCATAAAGCTTTCTCCTCAAATTTGGGTAAGATTTGGGTTTTTTTGGCTAAAAGAGTTCTCTGTTTCCTTGGTTGAGGACAATGGTCAGGTTATACATTTTGAGATTGCCCATGTTCTTTGTTTTGAAAAATTTTATCATTCTGCGGTGTATGCAAAAACAAGTAGAGTGGCTAGGCGGCCTTTGTGGAGGGATTTATTTAATTTTTGGCAGAAGTATTTAAGCTCCCTTTGGATGGTGGTTGGAGATTTTAATGTCATTCAGACATTGGATGAATATTCAGGAGTTTCTGTCCAAGATCATACAACAATGATGGAGTTTAATGAATGCATTTTTTATTGCGATCTTCTTGAAATTCCAGCTATCGGGACGGAGTTTACATGGGGTGGAACAAGGAATCATGGTTGGGTAAGCAAGAAGCTCGATCGAGTTTTAATATCCAAGGAATGGAGTGATTTCTTCCCGAATTCTTCAATTGAGAATTTAAAGAGGACCACATTGGCTCATAGCCCTTTGTTACACAGTTTTGCAGCGCAAGGAGATGGCAAACCAAATGTCTTTCGGTTCCAAAAAATGTGGTTACGGCGGGATGGTTTTATGGATGTTGTTCGAGAATGCTGGGACCAGCCAATTGAGCAAACTGGAATGTTAAGGTTTTCATTGAAGCTTAGGCGGCTGAAACTCAAATTGAAAGAGTGGAATAAAAGTGTCTCTGGGGACGTTTTTGATAATCTGAAAAAAGGCGGAGGAAAATGTTCAGAAGTTGGAACTTATCTTTGATGCATCCAAGCTTGAGCAAGATAGAATTAATCTCAATATTGCGAAGGCTACTTTGCTTCTTCGACTGAAAGAGCATGAAGATTTTTGGTCTCAGAAAATGAGGTTAAAATGGATGAAAGAGGGAGATGCGAACACAACTTTTTTTTACGCGACATTGAAAGAAAGAAGATTTGAGCAAAGCATTTATAAAATTCAAGCGCGGGATGGAAGATCGCTTCTGTCTAGGGCTGACATTGAGGAAGAGGCTGTAGGGTTCTTCAAGGATCTTCTAAATGAGGTGGATGATGCGCAAAATGAGGAGGCTGCGCAGTGGATTTTTCTGGACTAGATTCCTCGTGTTCTATGCACTGCTGATGTAGGGTTGCTCCTAAAGCCGATTCAGCTTGAAGAAATAAAGGTGGCGGTCTTTAAATTGAGCAAGGATAGTGCTCCCAGTATTGATGGCTTTGGTGGCCATTTTTATTGCTCTTGTTGGGAAATCATTTGTCAGGATTGATAATGGATTATTGGTTACAGAAAAGCATTAACTCTGAATTGAATAAGAAATTAGGGGTATTTCCTAGTATTAGTGCAATTTACTTAACTCATTTTTGTGTTTTATTAGGTAAGGGCTGGATTGAATAATTGCTGAAAATTTGGAGCCAAAAGAACAAATTGTGGGCTGCTGATACAATTCTTGCTGAGCTGGATGAAAAAGTACCTCCCAAGACAAGAAGCATCTTGCCATTAATGAGTATGTCTCTCATTTGAATTCCAAGAGGCATGCTTGTCCCTCAGCCGAAATTCTAGCCACCCCTGCTGATCAATGAGATTAATGTTGCCACTACTGGAAGAAGAGAAGAAGACCAGTCAAGTATGGATTCCAGGCACAAGGCATAGGGAGGATTAAACAATTCACAAGCATGGGAGGCTCTCATGATTAAAGAACCGGCTGCAAGGCTCTATAAAAGGGGAACTTCACTCTCAGAAGAAATCTATCTCTTTGGTTACCCTTTCAGTTGCCAAAAACACACAGAAATACTCCAGGAAGAAGGCAAGAAGGAAGAAGGAGCAACAACCACTCAGTAAGGAAGGCAAGTGAAGAACAGCCATCCCAGTTTCTGCTTCAGTTCCATGAGTGAACTCTTTCACTCTCAGGAGTGGCTCAGAACTACACAAGCTTTTTTCTCGTCTCTTAACTGTTAGCTTGAACTTCGTTTTATTATCCATACTTCTATGATGTCTTTTGATGCAATAGATGTAGCATTAATCTGCATGAGTAGCTAAGCAGCTTCCAGGGGTTATTCTTCTCAACCTATGTTGTAGTTGTGTAATGCACTGGTTTTGTTCCTTGTTTTGAAATTGAAAGTTTTTCTACATTCATTTACTTGATCACTAAATTGAATACATGATAGAACTAAGGGAGATCTAGAAAGATAAACTTAGTTTGGATTGTTTCAACTTTAACTTATGACATAGAGGTAACAATCTATGGTTTTAACTAAGATAGGAATATACTTAGTTAACATAAGCATTCATAAAGGCCTGAGAATTTAATGACTTTGTAACCAAAATCAATCATTGGAAAATAGATTGTTAAGGTTGCAAGGATGACTCTAGGAAAAACGGGAACTGAGTTAGAGTTATAAGTGAGCTGAGAACAAGAACTCAACCATTAGAGTGCTAATTAACAACTACAGCAATAGGAAGAGGAGATGAACAGCCCTGGCTTTCTTTCCCCTGAGTGACTGTTTCCATTCCCCTGAGTGACACCTTGTCTGACTGGTAGTCTTTTAACAACAAATTTGGTAATTAGCTGTCCTCGTGGGATCGACCTAGCTTCTATTATCTACAAAAAATCATAATCCAAGATAGTAATATTTTTGGTGAACTCGGCACGCACCAAGGATCTTTGGTGTGCTTGTCAAGAATTTATGCTCGGAGTTCCCATTCCGCAATCAATATCAAGCACCTTGATTTCCTTCCAAGAAAGGCTACGGTATGTACTTTTTTGGATTATAGGCCAATCAGTCTGCAATTTTCTTAATAAAGTCTTCACAAAAATTCTTACTGAAAGACTGAAAGTGGTTTTGCCTAAAATTATTTCGGAGGAGCAATCGGCTTTTTTGGAGGGCCAGGATATTATTGATAATGTTTTACTTGCGCAAGACTTGTGTCAGTTTCTAAAGCAAAAGGTTCAAGGGAAAAATTTTGTGTTAAATTGGACATGATGAAGGCTTTTGACCATGTTAAATGGAATTTCTTGGAGAAAATTTTGCTCAAGTTTTGTTTTCCTCCTTCCTTCATACTTTTGATTATGAACAATTTGCGCAATAGTTGGTTTTCTGTCATGCTAAATGACAGTCCTATTAGATTTTTCCGGTCTTCTCGTGGTATTAAACAAGGTGATCCTTTATCACCTTACTTGTTCACACTACAACAAAAATGAGAAGTTTAGACACTTTTTTGTGTATCAATAAGTGGTGTAATAGGACACACGTGACTCAAATTGCATGGGACACTACTAAATAGTGTTTCCTATATCGAGTCACAATAAGTCATAAAACATTTGAAATTGTATTATTAGATTGTCACTCATTAACACACTTTAAAGTGACCCATTAAGTAAGGTAATAGTTCACAAGCAACCCGAAATAGTACACTTGTGATAGTGTTTCATAATATGAATACACTTTTTCATTTTCAATAAGACACTTTTTAGCAAATGTCCTAATACACATATAATAAGACACATTTTAGGAAAAGTGTCCCACCATAAAGGTATTAATAGCCCATTTTTGTTGCAGTGTCATTTTGGTTTCGGAGGCAGTGACAAGATGTTTAAAGGCTCTAGTACATTCTGGGAATATTGCTAATTATAGTAGTCCACCGGGTTCGATGATTGTTTCTCATCTTACTTTTGCGGATGATTTAATTATTTTTTCGAGGGGTTTAACGGGGTCTTTGCGCAAGCTCAATGCCTTTTTTAATGATTATGAAAAAGCCTCGAGTCAGAGAATTAACCGCCAAAAGAGCTTTTTTATGGTTGCTGAAAATTGTCCAGCGAGAAGGGTAGAGATCATTCAAGGGGTTCTTGGCATCCAGAAGGGTGCCTTTCCATTTGTATACCTGGGTTGTCGTTTATTCCCGGGACAGAGTAAAGCTAGTACTTTTCAGTTCCTTTTGGATAGTTTGAATGCAAAATTCTGAATTGGAAGAATAAGTTTTTGAATCAGGCTGCTCGTCTTGTTTTGGTTAAGCATGTCTTGGCCTCTATAATGATTCATACTTTCTCGGCTGTTCCTCTGCCGACGTCGGTCATTCAGAAGTTGGAAAATATTTGTCAAAAGTTTATATGGAGGGAACTAATGAGGAGACAAAAAGGCATTGGCGGACTTGGGATGGTTTAACATTTTTGTATCTAGAAAGCTTGGGTATCCGAAGCTTTCATGGTGTTATTGATACTTTGACGGCAAAAATTTGGTGGAAATGGAAGTTGATGAAGGGTATTTGGAGGTAGATTTTTGGCATCTCTTTCTCAGTCCACGAGGAAAAAAACCTCATGGAATCGAATGCAAAAAATTGAGTCACGCATTGTTATGCATTCCAAGGTCGTTATAAGGGGGTGTGATCGTTCCTTTTGGTTCGATGATTGGTGTCTTCTTGGTTTGCTTTGGGACAATGCACATGATATGCTGCCTTTTCCTGGTCTGACAATTAAGGAATTATTGGGTCAAAAACATCATTTTCTGGCTGCTATTCAGGGAAGCATCTCGCAAGTTCTTTTCTAATTCTTGGAGGAATTTTCTTTCGATCTTCAGTCTGAGAATGATTTGATATTTTGGCAGCCAAACTCTCTTGGTAATTTTACTGTCGAAACAGCATATGAGGTGCTATAAAGGAGATGCGCGGAAGAAGGTTGGTTGCGGAATATCTGGAATCCAATAATTCCTCTAAAACTTTCTTTGTTTCTGTGGAAGCTCCATAACAAGATACTGCCTTTCCCTGAGGTTTTAGGCAGAATGGGGATTCAAATTTTTCCCTCCATATGC